TTTTATCAGCTGTTTGGACTCTCATTCTGACGGCACCCATTCACTGCAGAACATCCATTGCTGAGACACTGATGCAGTGCTACATTTCTACAAACCTGATGAAGAAACAAACTCATCCACATCTTGGATGGCAGTGCAGATTTTCATTTTTAGGTGAACTATTCCTTTAAAAAGTCTTATTCACTCAGAGACACAAGCACATCAGTAATATGTGAAAATATTTGAGACTTTATTGTATGCTGCAGAAGTCTTTGACACACAGTATATTAATACAGGACGTTACAGTGCATGTGTGTGTTTTTGTCCAGTGGCTTGTTTCGATTAAAACATTTTAAGAGTTTTTCTGAAGACTGAAGCATGCTGCGTTTCTGGCGCCTGCAAATAAAAACCATCAGAGCAAAATAAAAACGAGGGTTAAACCATATAAACACACCGAATGTGCCGCTGTTAAGACCTGCTTCACAATTTATATACAAAAAAACATTTCGGTTCCACCTGAAGATCTTCTGTGAAATTCCAGACTCACAGTTTCATCTCCATTAAGCTCCAAATGATTTACAATCGGCTGCAACCTCAAAATATAAATCACAAAAGGCACTCGAAATAAATCAACATAAAAAACAGTTCGTCACATTTTGACAGCGAGTGTCCGGCAGAACCAGCGGAAGCTAGAAATACTGCACCAGGAAGTGTCTTCTCTTCACAAACAGGAAGTTTAATCAGAGCCTCGTGTTCCTCTGAGACGGGATGTTCTCGGACGAATCTACAGTCGGTTTTATAGAAATGAGGCTTCAGGACAGACGAACCGCAGAAGGTCATCACAGTGTTCGAGAAGAAACTCAAGATCTAATACTGTTTCTGCAGATCACACTTCATCTCAAAACCAACAGATCGTTTTCTACATGAAGGAAACCAAGACTGTATTATATCCTATTATTTTCATGACATTTAAATACATTTTCCCACAACCAAAAAAAAAAGTACACTTACAGTAAGAACACATGTACTGCTTCTTTTGCTTTGATTTTAATAAAGTAAAAAAATATATATACTGTGTCCAAACAACATGACTGTCATTACTGTATTAAGAAATTGTCATGAAAATACTCGTGCAAAACTTCCTAAATCATGCAAAGAAAAAGAATTAAAAAAAAAAAATATATATATATA